CGAGCCTCTGGTCGCCGCCGGCGCTCGCAAACAGCGGCCGCGGTCCCGTCGCGCTGGTCACCTGCAGGCTGCGCGTCGGCGGCAGGCCCTTGCCGTCGTGCAGCACAAAGCCCTCCGGCACGTAGATGCTGCTCTGGCGCCGGCCACCATCGGTGAGGCGGATCTTGGGCGCCATCCGCGTACCCTGCAGCGGCTGCGGCATGATGAGCGTCTTGGGCAGCCTCGCCTCGAGGCCGCGCGGGCGGAGCGGGCCCTTGCGCGGTGGGCTGGTGTACTCGTCGTCGACGTCGTCGTCGCCCTCGCCGCCGTCGTCATTATCGCCCTGCTGCGTTCCCCTGAACACGTCGCTCGCCGGCTCGTTGGCATAGGCTTCGGATACATCGCGCCGCATGCCCAGGGGCTGGTCGTCGTCGTCGTCATCGTGGTCGAGGGCAGGGTTGACCAGACCGTCGGCCAGAGAGGCCGCATCGCCAAAGTCTGTGCGGAGCTCATCGCGGTCCCCACCGTCCATCCCGTCGGTCGAGCTGGCCTTGGCCGCTTCGGCCTGCCCGGCAGCGTCGAGGGCGACGGTGCTCATGTCCTTTGACCGCCGGTCGCCGCCGACGCCGAGCATGCTCATGCGCGAGGCACGGAACCACTTCTTTTTGGGCTTGCCCCAGTTGGCCGACGAGAGGTCGGGCACGCCGCCGCCAAGCTGGATCGGCATGCTGGGCGCCGTCTCCGACGCCAGCTCGTCGGCCAGCCCCTCGGGGCCGAGGATGGGCGCATTAAAGTCCGGGTCCTCGTTGGGCGCCAGCTCGACCTCTTGGCCGTCCTCGTCCGTCACGACGCCCGTGTAGAGACCGCCGCCCATGCCAAGCGACGCCGGGAACGTGGTGGATCGGGCGAGGGCCTGCAGCTGGCGGGTCGACAGCGCCGCCGTGGCCCGGTTGGCCGGCGGCGGAGCATCAACTGCGCCGCCGGCTGCAGCCTGGAAGAGCTGCGAGTTGCGGCCGCCAGGACTGCCGGGGAAAGCAGCCGATCCGGCCATCATGGGGCTCGCAGCGGCGGCCGCAAAACCCGCAGCGTAGGGTCCCGGGTCGAGCGGCAGGTTCCCAAAGGGATCTTCAGGCAGGCCCCTGCCCGTGCTGAACAGCTTGCCGGGAGTGCCGGGCCGAGACAGGATCTGCGAAGGTGTGTGCTCGCCCGCGTTGGTCGGAGGCAGCATGGCGGTCGCCATGAGCGAGTTGCGCCGAGACTGGCTGCGCGAGTAGGAGCCGATCCCGGCCATATCGAGCTCAGGGCCGTCCGGGCCATCGGCTAGCGCGCTCCCCTCGAGCTGCTGCAGGATGACCGACTGGCGCCGTCCGAAGGCTTCCGTCAGCTGGTCCGAAGTGGCCAGCGCAAAGGGGGGACGCGGTGCCGGCGGCGGGAAGACAAAGTTGCCTTGCCCGCCAGTGTGGGCTGGAATGGTCGTTGGCGCTGCCTTGGCCGCCGGTGCGTTTGTCGGGGCGGCAGCAGTCGGAGCAGCTGCCGTGCTGCCAGCCTCGTCCTCGGCCGCGGCCTCGGGCGCTGCGATCTCGGTGCTGAGCGACGACGACGGGATGGGTCCGGCCGCCGATCGGGTGCTGGCGTCGCCGACGTCAGACTCCTGCTCCTGGTCGGACCAGTTGTCGCCGGTGACGCCAAAGATCGAGAGGTGGCGGTTGCTGCGCCGGGTACTGACGATGCGCTCCTTTTCAAACGACTTGCTTGTAGGCATGTGGTCCTGGTCCAGCTTGTCGCCCGCGATCTCTGCGAGCGCCGACGCGGGGCGTGCGACGGGGCCGCCGAGGCTCGTTGACGAGACCATGTGGGTCGAAGACAGCGAGCCAGCCCGCGAGCCCGGCCTGGGCCGATCAAGGATGGACGACGACGATAGGGCGGGCGCGTGCGTAGGCTTCGACGCCTCCGCCAGCTCTTCACGAGCCTCCTTGAGTGTCGCCGACTGCGCTGCGCTGGGCGACGTGGCGATCAGGTGGTCCAGCACCTCTTCCTTGGACGCCTGAGGCCCAGGCCCGGACCACTCCGAGGGCGGCAGGTTCTCCTGCCTTTCCCGGTAGAGCTTGATGCGGGCCATGAGCTCCGCGCGCGAGTCGAGCGACGACGAGGCGCCGGTCGACGCGATGATCTCGGACCGCGCCCTGCCAGCGCCCGTCGAGGCGGCAGGGTCGGCCGTCGGGATCGTGTGCGAAGCCCGTCGTTCGTTGGCGGCGATGTCCACCGACGCCTGTGCGGTAGGAGTGGCAGCGCCGCCGAGATCCTCGAGCCGGGTACTGGTGATGCCCGCGACGCTGTTGGCGCGGCTGCGCTTCCCAGTTGCGATGCGCTCGCGCTCCTCTTTGCTGAGGAACTTTTCGACTCCCCAATTGCTGAGGGCCTCGTCGTCGTCGTCGCCGCCGGCATCGGCGACCGAGGGGGCGCCAAACGCGCTCCCTGACCTCGCATGGGTGGCTGTGCCATCGACAACCTCGCCGGGACCGAGGACGGCGCTGCGGTTGGAAAAGATGCTGGACGGCCTGCCGCGGGACCCGGCTCGGCTCTGCGCCCTGGCCTCGGTGGGCAGCGAGACGCCGAGGAAGTCGACGCTGGGGCGACGGTTGTCGTTTGCACCGGCGGCGGCGAGGCGGCTGAGGCGGCTGGCGTTGCTGCCGGTGCGGGTGTGGTGGGGGAGCGGTGCGGCCCCCTCGCGGTAGGGTGCAAAGATGGCGCTCTGGCTGGCAAGCTTTGGCTCTGGCGGAGGCGGAGGACGCAGACCTTGGGGCGGAGACGAGGTGCGGTTGTGAGGGGGCCAGTTCTGTGCGCGTTCGAGGATCTTTTCGTTGTCGGCCTCGACCAGAGCGGCGGCTAGCTGGAGGCGGGCGTTGATGCGCTTCGAGATGCGTGGCTTTGGCGCGGCGGCAGCAGCGGGAGCGGCGCCGGCGCCTGCTGCAAAGGCCGAAGCCGATCCGAGGTTGGCGCTGGTGAGCTGCTGTTGCTGCAGCTGCGGCTGTGCGTGGTCCTTGGACGGCTGTGCGCCCTCGAGGGATTCAAAGATCGAGGCGCTGAACGAGTCGCGTGGTCGATCGAAGCCCATGTGCTCGTGCTGGGCCTTTTGAAAGGCCGGAAAAGCGACGCTCATGGCGGGCAGATGGCCTGGCTGTTGCTCGTCCGGACTAAGCGGGCAGAGGAGAGGGGTGGGAAGGTAAGGGAAGAAGCCCCGAGGTGAGGCGAGGATCGACGAGGAAGGCCAATGACGCTAGACGGGGCAATCTGTCGAGTCGGCGGCCATGGAAACGAGGTCGAGGTCGATGATCGGGTCGAGTCGAGGCGAATAAGATGCTATCCTACGGGAAGACGAGAATGCTTCTCCGACCAACACGGAGCCGGACCGATGCCGATGCAGGGGTCACGGCAGCACGTTTAGATGTGAGTGTATAGGGAACGGGCCGAGGCCGAAAGCAATGCCGAGCGGGTCGAGATCGTCGCAGGCCACCGATTCGAGGGTCGACCGAGGTGCGCAGAACGAGTCCGAAAGCAGTGTTGGGAGTCGAGTCGAGGCCAGCGTGAGGTGAGATGAGCGTCGCCGCCGTCTGGAAGAAGCCAGGTGGGTGGGACCGAGGACCGCCGAGGATCAGGAGATGGCGACTGCGGGACCGGCACTGGAGCGGCAGAAGCTTGAGGCGGTCGAGAGCGGTGGCGATGGCCAAAGCGATGGCGACGGTGGTGGTGGCGGCGGTGGTGGTGGTGGTGCTGGCGGCAGACGAGGTCCAAGACGACGACGATCTTCATACGATCAGGCCCGTCTTGCGATTCCAAGCTTAGGGGGCCCAGGCGGGCGGCCGGGCGGTTGGACCTCCTTGCCTTGCCTTGCGGGCCTGTCCGTGCAGCTCGAGGGCGGCTGCTGCAGGTGTTGGTTTCGCAGCCAGGGCCATGTCCATGCCCGCCCATCTGCAGCTAGCAGCCAGCAGGGCTCGAGCAAATTCCCAATTCGCGGTCAACCAGCAGGGCAGCCACAAAAGCTAGCCAGCCAGTCCGCCAGGCAAGCAGACGGTCAGCCAACCTACCGTCCCTCGACCCATTCGGCGTCTCAAGAACGTACATAGGTCGACATGGCTAGAGAGCACAAGCCTGGCCTGGCAGGGCGAGCCGAGGGCGCGGTGGCTGTACATTTGGCGGAGCAGAGCGCCGTCGAGGCTCAAACCGACAAAACGTAACCGACGCCTAGAGTCAAGTTACATGCATGGTCGTCCGGCGTTGATCCGACAGCCCAGCAGCGAACAGGCAGGCAGGCAGGCAGGTAGAGTCGGAATTGCGGCGACGCCGTCGTCGCCGTCGTCGGGGGCGGCCCGACCGACCGTCTATCCGAGGTCCTTCTCCGGGGTCGGCTCTGTCCGACGAACCTTGGTTGCCTGCTTTGCTCTGCTTGGGCGGACCATCCGGTGACCGGTGTCTTGGCTTGATGTCGGCCGCGCGCCTCGACGATGGGCCCCGTGGAAGGGCTCAGCGAGGAAGGCTTGCTGGCATGGCATGGCATGGCAGCGAGGCAAGAAGGCCGGGCCAGGCAAGGCTGGGCAGGGCCTGGCTGAGCTGAATTTTGGATTTCGCGGATCACGGAAGCCAGCAGCTGGCCCAACCTCCACCTGCCTGTGTCTTGGGCGAGCCTCGATGGACCGCAACCTTTGCTGCCACCACCACCACCACCACCCGCGCCGCCGCCCTCGTACCCAATCGAAGACCGGTAGGATGCCATCGCAACCCGCTCTCGCTTCCACTGCCATGAGTGAACACAAGGACAGAGCAGACGGTCAAGACGAGGCGACGACATGCCAAGACTGTTCTCCCGACCCCGCCGCCACGCCCGTCCAGCCAGCACAGGCACAAGCACCCATACCCGCACCCGCACCCGTCGAGGAGAGCGCGAAGGAAGATATCCTGGACAAGTCGACCTTCATCCCGCCTCTCTCGCACATCGCGGGCGATCTACCGAGTCCGAGTCTCGTCATCGAGGTGCGTCCCCTCCCTCTCCCTCTGCCTCTCTCTGACACAATCCTAACGCCATCCCCCCCTCCCACAACGATGACGTCGGAATCGAACCGAACCGCAATGATACGCGCATGCAGTTCTGCCACAGATGCCGCTTCTACCCGCGTGCAAGCTGGATCCAGACGGAACTGTGGCTCACCTTCCCTCCGGACGAGTCTTGCATCCTCCCTCCTCCCTCCTCCTCTGTCTCAAAAGAAGGAGGGAAAGGGGGACAGGACCAGAAAAAAGAGGGACACATCAACGCCATCCTCTTGCTCCCACGGACGAGTCAGGAGACGGGCGGACGGTTTAGGATCTGGATCAACCTCCCCCCTTCCCCTCCCCTCCCATCCTCGACGACGACGACGGTGACTGAAGAGAAGGGAAGGGAGGGTGCGGTCAAGTGGGACCTCATCTGGGACCGAAAGACGGATGGCGGGTTTCCCGAACTGAGAAAGCTGGTGAGTCGCCCACACTGACCGATCTGAGCTTGTCCGCCCCACGTCCCGCTGGTCGACACCACGATGTCGGCAAGGGTGGCATGCTCATCCTCATCCGTTCCGTTCCCTCCTGCTTCCTTCCGTTCCATCCCTCCCCGACACCCGCGACACGACGACACAGAAACAACTCATCCGAGACCGAATCGCACCGGGAAGCGGGTTGGGGCATAGCGACAAGACGGTCTCCTAGCCAGCCCCCTTTCCGCCCTCGCGCCATCGTGTCTGCGCGGCAACATCATCCCGCTTCCGACTCTCCCCCCTCTATTCCTCTCTTTGCTGCGCCAAACGCGACACGCAAATACGGCACAAATCTATCGGCCTCTAGCGTACCGCCCCTTGACCGCGGGTACGCTACCGGGCCGGCGGACGACCCAGCCCATGGCGCCCGTGATGCCGCGCAGCTGGTCCGGTCGGTACTTTGCCGTCGCGACCACGGTGCCCACCGCCATGCCGAAAATGACTCTGTTCCCCGCGCGACCACATCGCGTCGTGCGACCCCGTCGAAGAGAGCAGGGCAAGGAACGAAAAAGGAAAGGTGACGAAGTAGAGTCAGTTTCCGCTTCACTCCCTTTCTCTCCTTCTCTGTTCAGACGGCCCCACAGTGGCGCAGGCCGAGACGCATAGACACTCTGTGTGCGTGTGTTGGGAACGGGAGGGAGGGGACGGGACGGGACGTACCGTTCGCACCAGAGCGCGCTGCGCCTCCCCTCGCTGAGCCAGCCGTTGCGCGTCGATTCGGCCACGGCGAAGAGGGCGCGCGGCGCGACGTAAAGGGCCATTTCGGCGCGCTTGCGCTTCTCCTCGATAAAGATGCTGAAGCCGCACGCGATGCTGCCCAGCAGCGGGCCCAGGCCGCTGTCCCAGAAGGAAAAGGGCACAGCGGGAAACAGACGCGGCAGGTGGCTGCGCGCCAGGCAGATTGGGTACCTGTGTTCCGTCGTCGTCGCCGAGGGCGAGGGATCAGAGGGGAGGGGAAGGAGAGGGTCAGTCAGAAAGGGGGCCTGTTCGGCTTGGCTGACACACGAGGCCAGGCCAGGCCGCGACACTCGCAACGACCAGCGGCGGCGGCGGCCGACGACGACGACGACGACGACGATGGACGTACCAGTTCCCCACGATGAACGTGGCGAGAAACGCGGCGCTGCGCGCGGCGCCGACGACGACCTTGGCGAGGTTGCGTACCGGCTGCCGGGCAAAGCCGCGCGGGTTGAAGAGGAGGCGGGGCAGCAGGTGAACGGGAAAGTAGATGGCCATG